TAGAAACCTCTTTACATCTCTTTAACAAGAACCACAGACGTCTGATTGAAAATTAGAATGGTGTAAATTGATGCTATCAGTGTCCCTGATACACATAAAAAATATAAAAAACCTTTTTATAATCTCTTTAACAAGAACCACAGACATCTGATTGAAAATTAGAATGATATAAATTGATGCTATCAGTGTCCCTGATACACATAAAAAATATAAAAAACCTTTTTATAATCTCTTTAACAAGAACCACAGACATCTGATTGAAAATTAGAATGATATAAATTGATGCTATCAGTGTCCCTGATACACATAAAAAATATAAAAAACCTTTTTATAATCTCTTTAACAAGAACCACAGACATCTGATTGAAAATTAGAATGATATAAATTGATACTATCAGTGTCTCTGATACACATGGACAATTTAGAAAACCTCTTTACAATCACTTTAACAAGAACCACAGACGTCTGATTGAAAATTAGAATGATGTAAATTGATGCTATCAGTGTCCCTGATACACATAAAAAATTTAGAAAACCTCTTTACAATCTCTTTAACAAGAACCACAGACATCTGATTGAAAATTGGAATGGTGTAAATTGATGCTATCAGTATTCCTGATGCACATAAAAAATTTAGAAAAAACCTCTTAATAATCGCTTAAATAAAATGGAGACAATTTGAGAGTAGTCTTTTTAGCGTTGACAACTAGGAAACCCCAATGACATTACTGTAGTGTATGCCGTGAATTTCATCCAATCAGTGCCAAGATAACAATAGCCCCAACCCGTTCCTACGGTGACCTGAATCTAACCTCTATCTCCATTGTTGCCTTTTGTATCTTCAATAGCATCTAATCTGTCAATACATCTTTCTCCCGATCTCATACGTAGCTGACTGAAATTAAAACATTTAACAAACTATTAAACAGTAGAATTTACAAAACAATGTAAGCATCTAACCATTGTAAACAGGTTTTTCTAAACTTTTTCAGTGTATCAGGGACACTGATAACATCAATTTACACCATTCTAATTTTCAATCAGATGTCTGTGGTTCTTGTTAAAGAGATTGTAAACAGGTTTTTCTAAACTTTTTAAGTGTATCAGGGACACTGATAACATCAATTTACATCATTCTAATTTTCAATCAGACGTCTGTGGTTCTTGTTAAAGAGATTGTAAAGAGGTTTTCTATATTTTTTATGTGTATCAGAGACACTGATAACATCAATTTACACCATTCTAATTTTCAATCAGATGTCTGTGGTTCTTGTTAAAGAGATTGTAAACAGGTTTTTCTAAACTTTTTAAGTGTATCAGGGACACTGATAACATCAATTTACATCATTCTAATTTTCAATCAGACGTCTGTGGTTCTTGTTAAAGAGATTGTAAAGAGGTTTTCTAAATTTTTTATGTGTATCAGGGACACTGATAGCATCAATTTACATCATTACAATTTTCAATCAGACGTCTGTGGTTTTTGCAATTCCACTAAAACTAAGTGTTTTAATAAAATTTTTATGATGTGCAAGGCCCTAAGATATTATTAGCAGCTTTTGCAACAGTGACGCCATAAACAGTGGCCCGGAGGTTGGCCCCCCCGCTCTCCCCCACTTTCAAATATTTTCATCATTTCACATTGAAAGAATGTCCTGGCCTGTATGTCATGTGCTGAAGGGAAACTATGTAGAAGAGATTACTACTTGTTAATGGGTGCAGTGGAGAAAATGTAACTTTGACATATAATCGATTATAAAATTTGATAATCGAAATTCCTATCGACGATAATCAATTATTTTGATCATTTTACCCAGCCCTGTTCGCCATTCATTAATGCTTGTTATTTGTAAAGAATACCGTAGGCGTAACATTCCAAACAGACTAAACCAACAAGGCCAAGTTTTATCAATTGAATCGTCTGCTTGGAAAATACGATGGCCCTAGATCCAATCCAGAAAAATAAAAAGGACAGTGTTCGATTAATGAAATAACTAAAACGTCTACAAAGCTAAGAATTCAGTATTTACTTTGGATTAATGTCGAATCTGACATCGCGATCTTCCCATAACGAATCGGCCATTTTGATGCTTTCGTCTCTAAAGAAAATATCACGTGACAATTATGACAGACGACAGACCTTCAAGACAAAAATTCTCTGTTTTTGCTAATTTTTCTGTCAATTAACGATTCTTTTTCCAAATTCTGGAATGAAACCATTAAACTGGAACTGTCTTTTACGGTTGGTGCCAATGTCAATGCCACTGGCATACTTGGGTTTGATTTCTGCTAAAGATTGGCCAAGTGTGTAGTTTGTTATTTGTAATTGTGAAACACCGTAATGTTGGACTTGGTTTAAAGTCTTGTAACCAAATTTGATTTGAATTTAAATTTTCAAAAAAATCGCTTTAAGATACTTTAGATAGGTCATTTTTTGGAAAGAAAATAATATAATTACAAGAAATTATATGAAAATTGGGGTTAAATCTCGAAATTTTCATCAAAACTCAATAAGTAAAAATTCATCCTTGACCTTCGATTTTGAGGAGGATGCCGTTTAGATATTCAAAAGAAGAAAACGCGAGGTTTACGCACTGAATCTTGCAAAGAAAAATACGATTTTAGACGTTTCTACATTTGCTTTATGTAGACTGAGTTAGAATATTCAAGAACTAAGCTAGTCTCAATTTCAAAACACAGGTTTGTAGATGTTGTAACGAAAGACATTTTGTGTTTTTTCACATTGTCAAAGAGAGTTTTATAACAGCCAAAAGTTGACAAAATTCTCATACTGAGTTTTTGATAATTTTACGTTTGAAATAGGCTAAACAGTAAACATACTTACTTCTAAGTTTAAAATTTTGAGAAGAGGCCATCTTCTTGGCTTTTCTTCATCTTCCTCATCAGGGAAAGAAAATACTCCATCAGCATTAAGCATGTTTCAGCACTGTTGCTGTTTCACCCCCCTCCCCTTCCTGTTGTGCTGTCAAAGTGAACAGCGACTATCTTTCAACTGAGGGAAAAGGCCAACTGTAAGCTAGTTTTTGTGTGTCTCCACAGGCCAATTGTCAAGCCATTGTTTTTGCGGCAATACATTGAGGGCCAAATGAAAGCTTTCACTTTACTCAAATTTTCTATGTGTAACATCAATTTACATCATTCTAATTTTCAATCAGATGTCTGAGGTTCTTGTTAAAGAGATTATAAAGATGTTTTCTAAATTTTGTATGTGTATCAGGGACACTGATAGCATCAATTTACACCATTCTAATTTTCAATCAGACGTCTGTGATTCATGCAATTCCACTAAAACTAAGTGTTTGATGACGTCACTGTCTCTAAAACTAAGTGGTTGGTTTCGAAGATACTCTTTCTGTTGGAAATTTGCTTTGTTTACTTTAATTTTATTTTAGTAACAATAATGGATGTTAATAAACGCGACGGAGAAAAGAGAAGAGAAAGGTCAAGGTCACCACGTAGAGATAGGTCAAGGTCAAGAGATAGAAAGAAGGCTAAAAGAAGATCGCGTAGTAGAGAAAGGTAAGTTAGTAATTGTTAGTTGATTTTCTGGAGCCGCAGTGGCTCAGTGAGTTTAACGCTTGCTCGCTAATCTGAAGGTCCAGGGTTCAATCCCAGCATAGGTCGAGATATTACCTTAGGGTTTTTCAACCTGGTTTCCTCTTGTCAGTGATGTTGGAGGCTTGCTCGCTAACCTGAAGGTCCAGGGTTCAATCGCGGCATAGGTCAAGATAATACCTTCAGATTTTTCAACCCAGTTTCCCCCTGTCAGTGAGTTAGATGCTTGCGCGCTAACCTGAAGGTCCAGGGTTCAATCGCGACATAGGTCAAGATAATACCTTCAGATTTTTCAACCCAGTTTCCCCCTGTCAGTGAGTTAGACGCTTGCTAGCTAACCTGAAGGTCCAGGGTTCAATCGCGGCATAGGTCAAGAGGATACCTTCAGATTTTTCAACCCAGTTTCCCCCTGTCAGTGAGTTAGATGCTTGCGCGCTAAGCTGACTGTTAGGGTTAGGGTTTACTCAACTTTTTTTGTTTTCTATCATAATTAGAAATAGAAGTCGTAGTAAAGAAAGATCACGAAAACGCAGTCGAAGTCGCGATAGGAAGAGAAGTCGAAGCAGAAGCCGTGATAGAAAAAAGAAAAAAGAATCAAGAAATAAGGATGATAGGTAAGTTCGTTAAAGATACTATTAAGAATTTGAAATTTATAAGAATAATGAAAAGTGGTATCAGGTGTCTAGAACAGTAAACATGCCCTGTCTGGCTCTCAATATTTATATATTATTTTATCAGAAGTAAGAAAGAGGAAGAAGAAGAGGAAAGTAAAGTGAAACGAGTTCCATTGTCTCTAGAAGAAATGTTGGCTAAGAAAAAAGCTGAAGAGGAAGCTCTAAGCAAGGTAGAGTTAACCTGATATCATCCAAAAAAAGAAAATCAAAATATTGAGGAACATAGTTATCTGAACCCCCTTTCTTCCCTCTCTCACTTATCAGGATTTCTGAAAATCTTCTTGTGCCATGAGGGTAATCTAGGGGTGTGAGGTTTTTGAAAGCATCTTAAAATGGAAATTCTCCCAGCATCCTGGGATCTGCGATGTCTGAGTGAATTCAAGCTCGCTAACCTGAATGTCCATTGTCCAGGGTTCAATCTTGGCATAAATCGAGATGTCCTGACAAAATTTCCCTCATTGTACACTGCATGGCATTGTCCGTCTTCATTAGCCCAATCAGATTGCAGAAAAATAGGATGTAAAACTTGATTTCAGCCCAAATTTTTAACAAAAGAAGAAAGGGCAGCGGAAGCGTTAAAAAGACGTCAAGAACAAGTGGAGGAAATCAGACGGAAACAAGAAGATGAACGAAAGAAACAGATGGACTTTCATAAAGCTGGACGTTCTGCTATGGGTAAGAAACAGTTCATTCATTTTAAAACCCAAGAAAATAAGTCTGCAAAACTTAATGATAAGCAGTATTCTGTGTTTACAAATATCCATGATCAAGAAAGGTGACTATTGCAGTCAAGGTATAAGACGAAGTTTGTAATAGCTTGACATTGTGAAGATGTGATACAAGAAAGGTGGTTATTGCAGTCAAGGTATAAGATGAAGTTTGTAATAGCTTGACATTGTGAAGATGTGATACAAGAAAGGTGACTATTGCAGTCAAGGTATAAGACACAGTTTGTAATAGCTTGACATGGTGAC